TGGAAACCCCTCCAAATGTTTGTTTGGATTCGGGTGTTCCAATCACCTCCGTGGCCACAGGTATCCAGTATAGAATCAAGCACCTAGGCATGCATGCTGCTTCTACAAACATTTGTGAAAGAATGGGTACTCTTAGGAGCTCAGTGAATTCAAGAGTGGTATTGTGATGGGTTGCCACCTGTGCAATAAGTCCATCTGTGAAATTTCCTTGCTACTAAATATTCCATGGTCAATTTTTAGTGGAAAGAATGGGTACTCTTAGGAGCTCAGTGAATTCAAGAGTGGTATTGTGATGGGTTGCCACCTGTGCAATAAGTCCATCTGTGAAATTTCCTTGCTACTAAATATTCCATGGTCAATTTTTAGTGGTATCATAACAAAGTGGAAGCAATTGGGCACAACAGCAACTCAGGTATGAAGTGGCAGGCCACATAAGCAGGTAGTTACTGATAGAACCCAACCCAGGCAAACTATAGACCTCCATTGAACCTCACAGCTTTCCAAGATTGAAATAGATTTCCAAGCTGCTTTTAAAGGTGCTGGGTTTCCACACAATATTCCACTGACCATGCTGACTACCTTGGATGCTTGGAAAAATAGCACCTCTCCCTTTACATTCCCTACCCAATTACAATGTCTAGAACATTTTATACCGGACTTGAATATACATTCATGGGTTTGTAATATGAGTTTGTAATATAGGCCAACTGTATGTTAATGACACTATCACACCTTCCACATCTCTAGCTCAAATTTACCACTTACCTCAAAATGAATACTTTACCTATAATGTATATGTGTAATCGATTTATCTACAACAAATACACAGCCTAAATACTTGCAGTATAACCTCTAACCTATATGTTTTCCTAAATTAACCTACTAAAAACAGGGATATCGCTAGTTTAGCAAACTCTGATGAATCGCTCCATATCATATATCTGAGCTGGCAGCACAGAAAACAACCCTTACAGTGGGAACGGCCATATTACACATAGACATAAATTTGCTCCCACCTGCTTCCAGGGCAAGTATACTGCACTTTCTGCCTGTAGCCAAAACAAACATCAATAGATTATGGGAAACTAATAAGGTTCCCTTCTACAAGACCTAAACAACCAAGATATAATGAAATGAATATTAGCATTCAAAAATAATGCCTAAACAACGTCTCAAATTAGTTGACATTGCAAAATTATCCCTTTGCAAAATTTCATATGTCCCAACCACTACTTGGTAAGAAGACCGATCTAAGATTATTTCTTGGTACATACTATCATAAACAGACATGTTCTATGTGTTTTAAAATATCACTATACACATGTGAACATTTTTCATATTCTTGGTATGTAAGCAACATTGATTAACTGAAAGCCTTAAAACAATATTTAAATTGGACTACTAAGGAGTTGAGATTCACTATGCATCATGGCATTAATCAGACATTGAGACTGAATAATAAAACTGAGACTGATTTGACAGGCGCAATTTTCATCACGGTAAGAGCTATCATGCTATCCTATTCTTGAAAAGTTTACCATTCTCTATGTTGTGAGAGCAAGAAAAGTGATTACAGATTTTACTTTTGCAGATCTGCTTTTAACAAATGCAATTTACTACAAAGTATCCATTATGGACTCAGACTAATTTTTTTTCCTGACTGGAAAAAAAATTTAAAGCTAGATGCCCATTAAACTACTCAGAATGGAGAACTTTTTAGAATAACATTTGCTAATTATATTTACAATAGCTGTTTTATGACTAAACTATTAAAGTGCACGTTTTTGAATTTATGGATTGAGTACAGAAGGGTTGGAACCTTTATTATTTTTTTTTAAATTCCTTTCACTTCCTGTCCTTGTGACACCAGGATATTGCACACTTTTTAAATCTAGTTTACATGTTATTCACATGCAAATTTGTATCTATAATAGAAACTGCTCTATTATGAAAAAAATGTTTGGGCAGTTAAGCATAACATATATGGTTATAAAATAGACTCCTAGAGTTAAATCAGAACAAGTTAACAATAAATTGAATGGGGGCAAATAAACAAACGTATACCTGTTTACCCACATCAGTAACAGGCGTCTTGTATGGGTAATAACATACATATAATTAGTTAAAGCTGTGTCACTTATTCCTCTTAAACATTAAAAGGAATAAGTACCTACCTACTTACATGTACTTACAATACAGTCATAATAAACTTGCACAGGCATATTCTTGCACATTCATTCATTTCTGATAAAATTAGCTGTTCTAACAATCTATGTCACCTATGGATTTCAACTTGCTTCCTGGGGCTGATATTTTTTTCTGGTATTAGATATTGGTCTTTGATGGCATAGCCCGAAGTCTCTTTTCCTTAATGTGTAGTCTCATGTGAACATTTCCTCTCACTTTCTTTGTGATGGCGGTGACATGACCACAAGGCAAAAGTGATCTGCTCTTTCAGAGCCTAGGTAGATCCTAAAATTAAAGTGTATAGACATACATTTTAAACCAGATATTATGGACATTCTAAAATTATTTTTTTTCCTAGTGTGTTTTTAAAACCATGACTTGCATTACTTTGCAATAGTGGAATTTTTTTTTTTTTTTTGTTTATTTATTTTTTTAGGATAAACCACTTTAACTTAAAGAGCTCTGCATAACCTAGTAACAGTTATGGGTGAGGTTCGAGTTTGGCCTTTCCTTGTGTTTGCAGCAGATTCTGCCTGTTCATAGTCCATGCTCTGGTGAACTAATGTGAGATTTTGTCACTATGCTTTGTAACCATAATGCACTACAAGGGCCTTTGAGTTTAGGTCAGCTGGCTTAGAATGGCCAAAAATTTTGGCTTTGTTGTATGCCAGTTCCATATATATGTGTGTGTGTGTGTGTATGTATACAGTGTATATATATATATATATACAAACACAACTATATTGCCAAAAGTATTATGATACTCATCCAAATCAATGGATTCGGGTGTTCCAATCACCTACATGGCCACAGGTGTATAAAATCAAGCACCTAGGCATGCAGACTGCTTCTACAAACATTTGCGAAAGAATGGGTAACTCACAGAAGCTCAGTGAATTCAAATATGGTACCGTGATAGGTTGCAACCTGTGCAATAAGTCCATCCGTGAAATTTACTTAGTACTCAATATTCCATAGTCAACTGTTAGAGGTATTATAGCAAAGTGGAGGCAACTGGGAACAACAGCAATCCAACCACGAAGTTGAAGGCCACATAAAATTACAGAGTGCTTCAGCGCATGCTGAAGAGCACAGTGGCAGAAGTCTCCACCTGTTTGCAAAATCAATAACTAAAGGCCTGCAAACTTCATGTGGCCTTCAGATTAACACAACAATGTGTATAGAGCTTCATGGAATGGGATTCCATGGCCCAGCAGCTGCATCCATGCCTTACAATCATCAAGTACAATGCAAAGCTTTGAATGTAGTGATGTAAAGCATTGCACCACTGGACTCTAAGGTAGTGGAGATGTGTTCTTTAGCATGATGAATCACACTTCTCTGTCTGGCAATTCAATGGATATGTCTGGGTTTGGTGGTTGCCAGGAGAACGGTACTGGCCTGACTGCATTGTGTCAAGTGTATGGTTTGGTGCAAGGGGATTATGGTGTGGGGTTGCTTTTCAGGGGTTGGGCTTGGCCCCTTAGTTCCAGTGAAGGGAACTCTTAAGGCATCTGCATACCAAGACATTTTGGACAATTTCATGCTCCAAACTTTGTGGGAACAGTTTTGGAATGGACCCGTCCTGTTCCAACATGACTGTGCTCCAGTGCATAAAACAAGTTCTATAAAGACATGGATGAGCGAGTTTGGGATGAAGAAACTTGACTGGCCTGCATATAGTCCTGACGTCAACCTTATAGAACACCTTTGGGATGAATTAGAGCGGAAACTGCGAGCCAGGCCTTCTCATCTGACATCAGTGCCTGACCTCACAAATGCACTTCTGGAAGAATGGTCAAGCATTCCCATAGACACACTCCTAAATCTTGTGGACAGCCTTCCCAGAACTCAATATTGAACCCTATGGACTAAGACTGGGATGCCATTAAAGTTCATGTGCATGTAAAGGCATGCATCCTAATACTTTAGGCAATATAGCAAGAGTATATACTGTGTGTTCATATATATATATATATATATATATATATATATATATATATAATATATAAAATTATTATTATTTTAGTTTTTTTTTTACTAACAAACATGTCATACTTACTTGCTCTGTGCAATGGTTTTGCAAAGACTAGCCCTGATCCTCCTCTTCTTGGGTCCCCTCCAGTGCTTCTGGGTGCTATCCCAGCCGAGTGCACACCATAGCAAGCTGCTTGCTATATGAGCACTTGTAAGGGCTTGCTCCTGAGCCAGCTCTCTGTGTTAGGTCACATAACTATACTTAACCTCCTTGGTGGTATGATTATTTCAGATTTTTGGTGCTGAAAGTGGTACCATTATTTTGCATGGAAATTTGGCGTTTTATATTGTAGGCCTGTAATTCTTAGGAATAACTCACTGAAATCTGTCCGAACAAGAGTCTAGTAAACATCCCAGGTAGGATAAAACTTGAAACACAAAATCATAAATTATAATTTAATAAAATAATCATAAAAAATAATAATATAATAATAATAAATTTAATTCAATAATATAATCAAACCAAAAACACTGAAATTTGAAATATAGCGCCAAGTTCGCACATCACTGAGCAAAGTCGCAAAATTGTTTTCAGTGTCTGATGACGAATTTCCCCACAAATCATTATCACTCAATTCTGCAAGTGGTTCTGATTTACTATTGCTGTTCTCTAGCTGGTCTAAAACCGCTTTTGACCTAAAGGGACGCTTTTTGGACGCCATGGACGTTTCTCAGTTTACAGGCAATAAGAACAGTAAAAATGCAGGCAGGGCACAGGACAAAGCACTAGGGACAAAATGTATGTGAAATGGTTTGATACAGTAATGTTTTACTGTGTGATTTTAGTGAATGTCACTTTTTGTCATTTCCCGCCGTTCCTCCCCCCGTACATCCCGATGCTCGCAGGGGACGGAACCCAGAAGACAGATGCCAGCATCTGCCAGATTACATTGCCGGGGACACTGCAGGAGGGACATCGCGGGAGCGCAGGACAAGGTAAGTGATCGAGGGATCCCGGAGCAGCGCTGCATGGTATTCCCGAGTGTAGCTCGGGGTCACCGCTTGTGGTACTGAAACTTTACCCCGAGCTACACTCGGAAATATCGCCAGGGAGGTTAAACAAAATTGAAAAGAATGTTATTAGGAGCGCTGCACTAATATTTTTTATTTCATTTTTTGGGGGCCTTTTCTTATAAATTATGCAGTCAGGAGGGAGGGCAGGCAGCAGCAAAACAATAAGCATTGAATCATATAGCCATAGACTGCCTGCCTTTATTTAAATCTTCCTGTAATTGGAAAAACATATCAGACAGGCAGTCTGGCAGAGGACATTGACTGTTATAGACTGGGGGTAGTATAAACTCACTGACCACTTTATTACGTACTCCTAGTTAGTACTGGGTTGGACCTCCTTTTGCCCTCATAACTGTCTTAATTCTTTGTGCCATAGGTTCAACAAGGTGTTGGAAACAATCCTCAGAGATTTTGGTCCATATTGACATAAGTTACTCATTAAAAAATGTCCTACTGCTGACCCAATGGATGCTGCTGTTTACATGCCTCATTCCCTAAATGACAGATTCCAATACTGTGGTAGTACAAATTGGCATATTTTGTTATTGATGCCCCCCATGGTACCCAGGTGTCTATTTACAGTACTGCAGGAATTCTGTAATTTATGCATAAGCAGGTGTCAGGTCATTATGACAGATATGGATTCAATCACTAGCCAACATGATTGATGGGGATTTGCAATGGGTAACATTAATAAAATGTATATTTATATTTAACTATTTGAAGGTATGAGTAAGGGGTAAAATTGTACTCCTATACCTATTCCTCTTGAAGGGGACAAATATCTGGATGCTCCTTATTCTAAAGGGGGCTTCCAGATTTCATTATAAGTTCCCCTTGCAAAGTACCCCCAATGTAAATCATACTGTTCCATAACATATACAGCTTTAAAACATCTACATGTATGTTATTTAAGCACATTGTGTGTTATCACGTTTGTGTTTTTCAGACTTCAGGAAGGATTCAATGAACCCCCACAAAATTGACTGGGGCAGAATTACTGATCCCAAGTGAAAGTAACATTTTCTCTTTTATCAAATCCACCAGTGCTAAATGCAACAAGTTTTCAAACATGTATCACCAGTTCAGATAGTTTTTTCGTTACTTACAGTGATTTAACCACTTGACAACTGGGCTATAGCCGAATGACGGCTACAGCGTGGTTGTCTAGTTCTGGGAAGGTGTTGTATGATGTCCTTCAGAACAGTGCCTCCCACGCACCCCCTGGGGCATGCGCCCGGTGAGCTCTGTAATCACTGTGCCCGTCGGACACAGCTGATCACATGACATAGTAAAAGGCCAATCACAGAATCCTTTTACCATGTGATCAACTGTGTCCAATGACACAGGTGATTACAATGTAAATACATTTGCCGGTTATTGGCTGCACTTTCCTCATGCTGTCACAGCATGAGGAAACAGAAAAGCCAGTAATCAGCACATTAATTTAGGCAGTCCAGTGCAGGCTCCGGCCCCAACAGTGTCCATCAGTGCTGCCAGTCAGTGTCTATCAGTGCTGTCAGTCCGTGTTCATCAATGCCGCCAGTCAGTGTCCAATGCTGCCAGCTAGTGATCATCAGTGCTGCCAGTCAGTGATCATCTGTGCCGCCAGTCAGTATCCATCAGTATCGCCAGTCAGTGCCCATCAGTGCTGCCAGTGAGTGAACATCAGTGCTGACAATTCAGTGCCGCCTATCAGAGACCTTCAGTGCCGCCTATCAGTGCCCATCAGTGCCTCATATCGATGCCCATCAGTGCCATCTGTCAATGCCCATCAGTGCCGCCTATCAGTGCAGCCTCATCAGTGCCTCCTCATCAGTGCCTCCTCATCAGTGCAGTCTATTAGTCCCCATCAGTGCTGCCTCACTAGTGCCGCCTCATCAGTACCCATCAGTGCCCATCAGTGCAGCCTCAGCAGTGCCCATCAGTGATGGAGAAAAATTACATGTTTGCAAAATTTTATAACAGAAACTAAGAAAAAAAGTTTTTTTAATCATAATTTGTCTCAAATTATATGTCTCAAAAAATGATACAAATTTCATATGTGTACAGTGTTGTATGAGATCGCAATAGTCATTCAAGGTGTGACAGCACTGAAAGGTGAAAATTGGCAGGTAGGTGAAAGTGCCCGGTAGGCAAGTGGATAAAAAATTGCCACAAAGAGACATAAAGTACATGATAGAAATTGATGGTCAGGAACAGCATGCAAATTTAAAGAGCTAGGGACAGAGGTGGGTCTTAAAGGGTAGTCTCCTAATTGCCTTGTATATGCTTCAATAATTCCTTCTTTTTCAGAAGTGTATTATCTTGCATTGAGAAAGAGAAAAGACGTGAAGATATTGAGCTCTACCAGTAAAGAACAAAAAAGGCTAAATCTACTTTGGCTTCCTGTTTTCAGAATGCAAAAACAAGGAAGATGTCCAGTTGCACAAGTTTAGGGTATGCCAAGTGTATTCTGCATGTAACTTTGGTTTGTTAATTTTCTTCACAAAGGTGTACCTTTGAAAACATTATTTTCATACAGCATGGGTTTCCACAGCACTATACTGAAGGAGTAAAAACACAAAGGGGGAGATTTACTAAAACTGGTGCAGCTGTGCATATTAACCAATCAGCTTCCAACATCAGCTTGTTCAATTAAGCTTTGACAATAAAACCTAGAAGCTGATTGGTTGCTATGCATGGCTGCACCAGGTTCTGTGTGTACCTGTTTTAGTAAATTTGCATTCATTGGTCAACACATGTAATGCCAAAAATTAATATTGTTTTCTGCTTAAAAAAAAGGAAAGAACAGAAAAACCTAGATAACATTACAGAGTCAGCCCCTAAGAGGCTCTGTTGGAACATTGTACAACACAAATCAGATTCCATTTTATTATTCACTATTTTACTGTAGGAAATAAAGGATTACATGGGTGAAGTGTTGAAACAAGCACAGGTAACCTATAAAAAGCTCAATCACTTGGTGCTTGTAAAATGTTTAGTCAACAGACTTGAGAACTCTTGGCCTGGGTTGTGAGCTTATATATTTTGGACAAAATACAAACAAACAAAATACAAACAAATACAAATAAGTTCACACTAGCTTTGTTAGCAGGCATTTGGGAAGCATTTTTAATGCTCCTCAAACGTCTATGATAATTCTACACATGGCAGCACACTGAAGCGTTAGCATCACGGCAATATTGATGCCTCATGTCGAGTCAGAAGGAGTTGAAGCCTCCCATTCAAGTCTATGGTGATGCTCCGCAAACCCCTAGCAGGCATTTGTGGGGCGTTAATACCATTAAACTTCATTATAGACATTTGTGATTCAGTTTTAATGCTTGGCAAATGCCTATCAAATGCCTCAAAAATATGGCATTTGGGGAGCATTGGGGAGTGTTTCAGGAGCATTAAAAATGCTTCCCAAATGCCTGTCTAACACCTGTCAAACGCTAAAGGGGCATTTGGCAAGTGTGAATGAGCCCTAATACCTTATGACCTTCAAAGAAAATGTTTTTATGTTTTTGGGCTCAAAGAGGAAACACTTTCATATTGCAGTGCATATTTATGTTGCTCTGAGCAGGAAAACAGGATTGGTAAGTGTTCTTGCTTTTGTTTATTGTACTTTGCCTTAATGAGCCAACATTTCCTTAAGACTTTTTGTACTTACTGGTACTCAGATTTTCAAAGATTCTATGAACTGGATTAGAGAAGCAGGTCATATAACTGTGACAATAACAGGGAGCAAACTAGAGTCAGACAAATCAAAAGTCAAGGTTTTTACAAGCCAAAATTCAAGGACAACAAAGATTTAAAAAACCCAAATTTGCAACAGAGGGACAACAGAGTGAAATCAAATTGACAGCATACAAAAAATAACCTTATAAAAACCATAAGATAGATAAATCAAAGAAGAACATGTCTTGGACATGCCTTTGAGCATGTGAATGAGTATATATGTCCACACATTCACACATGTGTACATATTGTATGACTATATGGCCACAGACCTAAACAGAGCTGTACAAAGCAAAAGTCACACATGATTGAATGATTTATATAATATAAAGATAAAAATATTAAATGTAACATGTGAACTCCTTAAGTTGGCTATATGCTGTATGAATTTAGACCATTCCTGAGGAACCTTTTATCCAGCTTCTGCCCAACATCTCTGAATTGATAAATCAAAGGGGTGGGGCAAAACATTTTCTGCCAAAAATTTGCACCATCCAATCAGCTGCAGCAGCTGTTTGGGTATTTTTACAGCTGCCTATCAAAATAAAATAACTGCAGCTGAACAAAATTAAAAACTCAGTCAGCGAGCAGCTTAACAGTGTTTATGAAATTTGCTTATCTCGAAAAGCTATACATTTTTGGGTGGATATAATTCTTTATGGAGAATAGTAGTCACAAGGTTATGTCTTAAATGGCAAAGAACAGCAAGTCATTCAGAAAGTAATGGACTTGGCATTCCAAGTTTAGTTTAGTCATACATCAGTCATTTTCTGTTCTGTTAATGTCAGTTGTTTGTAGGATGATGAATGGCTGGTTCTAACATCAGAACTTGACAACAACCAAAGGCACACATTCAGTCATTTATAATCATGCCATGTTGCAAATTCAGCTTTAAAGAATCCAGCATTAGTTTTACCAGCTTAATATACATCTCTTTCAGTTTGTACTTTAAATGAAGTAAACAATATGCTTGAAGCTAAAGATATTCCAAACATAAAAAGAACAGAAATGGTTCTAACTTAGCTCAATTTAAAGTGAAATAAGGCTTGTTGCTCAGTATCCAAGTTTCCCTAACGCCTGCTTTAATTATCTTGTAGAACAGACTTTTATATTTCATATATATATATATATATATATATATATATATATATATATACACACAGGTGAAACTAGAATATCGTGCAAAAGTTCATTTATTTCGGTAATGCAACTTAAAAGGTGAAACTAATATATGAGATAGACTCATTACATGCAAAGCAAGATAGTTCAAGCTGTCATTTGTCATAATTGTGATGATTATGGCTTACAGCTCATGAAAACCCCAAATCCACAATCTCAGAAAATTAGAATATTGTGAAAAGGTGCAATATTCTAGGCTCAAAGTGTCCCACTCTAATCAGCTAATTAAGCCATAACACCTGCAAAGGGTTCCTGAGCCTTTAAATGGTCTCCCAGTCTGGTTCAGTAGGAATCACAATCATGGGAACCTGACAGTTGTGCAGAAAACCATCATTGACACCCTCCATAAGGAGGGAAAGCCTCAAAAGGTAATTTCAAAAGAAGTTGGATGTTCCCAAAGTGCTGTATCAAAGCACATTAATAGAAAGTTATGTGGAAGGGAAAAGTGTGGAAGAAAAAGGTGCACAAGCAGCAGGGATGACTGCAGCCTGGAAAGAATTGTGAGGAAAAGGCCATTCAAAAGTGTTGGGGACTTCCACAAGGAGTGGACTGAGGCTGGAGTCAGTGCATCAAGAGCCGCCACACACAGATGGATCCTGGACATGGGCTTCAAATGTCACATTCCTCTTGTCAAGCCACTCCTGAACAACAAACAACGTCAGAAGCGTCTTACCTGGGCTAAAGAAAAACAGACCTGGTCTGTTGCTCAGTGGTCCAAAGTCCTCTTTTCTGATGAGAGCAACTTTTGCATCACATTTAGAAACCAAGGACTCAGAGTATGAAGGAAGAATGGAGAGACACACACTGCAAGATGCTTGAAGTCCAGTGTGAAGTTTCCACAGTCTGTGTTGATTTGGGGAGCCATTTCATCTGCTGGTGTTGGTCCACTGTGCTTCATTAAGTCCATGGTCAACGCAGCCGTCTACCAGGAGATTTTGGAGCACTTCATGCTTCCGTCCACAGACAAGCTTTATGGGGATGCTGACTTCATTTTCCAGCAGGACTTGGCACCTGCCCACACTGTCAAAAGCCCCAAAACCTGGCCAGAAAACTCGCCTGACCTGAACCCCATAGAGAATCTGTGGGGCATTGCCAAGAGAAAGATGAGAGACATGAGACCGAACAATGCAGAAGAGCTGAAGGCAGCTATTGAAGCATCCTGGTCTTCCATAACACCTCAGCAGTGCCACAGGCTGATAGCTTCCATGCCACGCCGCATTGAGGCAGTAATTGCTGCAAAAGGGGCCCAAACCAAATATAGAGTACATATGCATGCTTATACTTTTCAGAGGTCCGATATTGTTCTATGTACAATCTTTGTTTTATTAATTGCATGTAATATTCTAATTTTCTGAGATTGTGGATTTGGGGTTTTCATGAGCTGTAAGCCATAATCATCACAATTATGACAAATCACGGCTTGAACTATCTTGCTTTGCATGTAATGAATCTATCTCATATATTAGTTTCACCTTTTAAGTTGCATTACTGAAATAAATGAACTTTTGCACGATATTCTAATTTTCCGAGTTTCACCTGTATGTATGTATATATATATATATATATATATATATTTATTTTCTAGTGTCACTCATTATAAATATGATTAACCTGCATGTGTGGCTGTAAAAAAACAAATGCTGAACATTTGTATTATGCACTATTCCCAGTTGTTACTATTTAGGTTATATGCTCTTACAATGTTTCAGGTCTGTTATTTGGTTAGTTCAAAACTGAGGCCTAAGAGAGAGAGAGGTGGTATTAATAATCTAGCCCAAAATACAAGACTTGGTGCTCCACACAAAACAGATAAAATATAAAAAGCATTCAAAAGGACTTCTGTAGGGAAACAAAGAAGATAAAATGGGACATTTTTTGCATGAATGTTTCAATTTTTCACTGCCTGTCTTTGTTAAGTAAAAAGACATATTGAAAAGTGCTAATAAATAGTCCTTATACCTCCCTGCACCACAATACCCCTCCCTAAACATCCTGTGAGCCAGAACATACAAAAACAAACAATAACCAGCAATAAGCATAAAATTAATCTACTAAACAAACATAAATACGTATACCATAGGCATAGGAAATTATTTATAAGCAACAGTGACAAACACATTAACCCTACAAAGGGGACTACAAGACACAGCCTCCTGCATTGGAAACACTAAGTGCAGGTTACTCAACAAGGCTTGAAGAGGTGTTGTCATAGCAAACCATTATGCCGGAAGTAGCATTATGGACAATGATCTAACAGGTAACAGCAAGAAAAACAATTACTATAGAAAAAAGGACAATTGTGGAATGCAGGGAGTAGTAGTAGTCATGTGGGGGGACAAAACATGTATACACCTACAATTGCCTGAGGTATTCAATTGCAACCTTACATTTTAACCTCCCTAGCGGTATGATTATTTCAGATTTTTGGTGCTGAAAGCGGTACCATTTTTTTGCATGGAAATATGTATTTTTTTTTATTGTAGGCCTGTAATTTAGGAATAACTCACTGAAATCTGTACGAACAAGAGTCTAGTAAACATCCCGGGTAGGATAAAACTTGAAACACAAAATCATAAATTATAATTTAATAAATAATCATAAAAAAATAATAATATAATAATAATAAATTTAATTCAATAATATAATCAAACCAAAAACACTGAAATTTGAAATATAGCGCCAAGTTCGCACATCGCTAAGCAAAGTCGCAGAATCGTTTTCAGTGTCTGATTCCGAATTTCCCCACGAATCATTATCACTCAATTCTGCAAGTGGTT